TAATATAAACGTCAGCATGAATGATCTTGGATTTTTTTTTTAAACAAGAGCACTGTCGTATTAATTTTATTTTAACGGGCATACTACGAGTTTTATGTTTGTTTTAAAATGAAATTCTTCAATATGAAATTCAACTTCTGTACGTACACATGGATTTAAACCACCAAACCCCCAGTCCACACGCGTTAACAAATGTTGATTTTGCGGGCCCTCACATCGTCCTTATTTTGTGTGAAAATCACCAAGTGGTAGCGTAGTCGATTATAAAATAATTGGTTCATTAAAAGTTTAGTACAAATTAGTTTTGTTTTATGAAAAGTGTTAAATTGTTTTTTAAGCAAAATTTCTTGAAAAACCTTGATGAACGCAACTAGGTCTATATTCGTTATCGATACTAGCCATACATACGTCAATATTTTAAGATGAAACGTAGAATAGAAGGTTGTCATAATTAAATCTAAAAATATGTATGTAGATTTTGTTTAAAGTCTTCGATAGATGAAAGCATAGTGCGCTAGATCAGTACATCAACAACTCTTGAATATTAGAAAAAAAAAATTCCAGCATTTGGTATGAAATAAAATCATTCCAATAAAGCGTTTAAATCACCAAAGTAACAGACTTTTTTGTTTGCTGTACGTTGGCTGCTTGTAAATTCATGATTCTGCTTGATTATTTCTTATGAAAACAAAAAAAATATCTCCTTTTCCTTAGAAAATAATGCAATTTAATATTGCTTACTCAAAAGGCAAAGCACATTTGTATATTTATACGCTCCTCTGGTACACAAATCACACAAAAATATCGGTTAATAGCAAATCTTAAAAATGCTATTATATCAGTAATTATGTCAAAATGTGGTGTTCAATTTGTAAATATAACTCGAAAATAGGATGAATGTAGAACTATAAATACTATCAGTAAATTTCTGGCAAACGGATCCTACCTTAAAAAGTCTTGTGTGTACCTACGGTGACTGTAGACCTAGTTCGTATGGTTGTCCTGGAGCTGTCGTCTTGACACAAAGTCAACATTGACCAACGCCAAAACCTTGTCTACTCTTGTCTTGGGAAGCCTCGTATATTTTATAAGACACGTAGACATAAATCAATACTTTACGTAAGTGGAATATCGACCACAGTTAAACGGACGACTTATATATTTTATCTCTGTAACTTATTATATTGTTTTCCTCAATATTGATTAGTGCGACTTTTGGTATGCAAAACAAGCGACGTGCATATTTCATTCAACGGTGATTTGCTTTATTCTTCTAATTATTAGCATATATAATTTTTAAAGAATCTCTGTATTCCCTGTGTGACTTGTATTACAAAATACAAAATTTTTAAAAGAATTTTTGTATTCCCTGTGTGACTCGTATTACAAAGTACAAGACTTTGAGTTTGGATTAAGTGTCGGTGTGGCCGTGTACATACCAACTGACATTGTCTCTTGGCGGTCCGCATTGTTGAATGTGGGGGCTGATGCTCGCGGTTTTTGATTTGGTTCTTTGATGGTTGTCTCACCTCGTTGACATAGCTATGAAAGACAGTAGTGACCGTATATAGGCCTTGATCCTTTGTTGTTAAGAAACTCCCGTAATCTCCAGTCGCATGGAACAGTACCTGATGTCATATCATTATCTCAAATGCCAACTTACACATCTTTAGACTACATTTGTACCTGAGGTTATATTTTTACCTGAGATATGTATTTTCCAATCACATTTTTAAATTTGATAAACGCTTGTCTTTCAGTATCTGACATTTCCATTGTAAATTATGAAAACTACTTAATCAATTAATATTCCAAACAATTTTCTAAAATAATTATTATCTACGTGTTTTCCCATGTTAATCGGTGGCAACATAAATACTTAATCAATAATATAACGTAACTTTTAAGTAAATGACTTTTGCACCATTTCACTATCCATTTACACTAGCTGCACCGCAACTTAAACAACCTGTCACTTACTTGTAGTTCCTTGATGTTGAGGCCTGTCATTTGACCACCCCCCTCTCACCCCACTATACAAAGTGTTCAGGCTGCCTCAATACAACCAGCGTCGTTGTTTCATTATAGTTTCAGCATGGATATTTTTAATTATTTCACTTGGGGTAAGAAAAACATATGACAGAATGTAAAGGTGTTGTTTGGAAATCAGTACAATGTATGAGTAATTTAAATAAACATCCGAACACACTCGTTTGACCGTGGAAAGGGTGTTAGGCAAACCACTCAAGAACAGCTCGAGACGATCACATCAAGAACAGCTCGATCACATCAAGAACAGCTTGACCAGATCACATCAAGAACAGCTCGACACGATCACATCAAGAACAGCTCGACACGATCACATCAAGAACAGCTCGATCACATCAAGAACAGCTTGACCAGATCACATCAAGAACAGCTCGACACGATCACATCAAGAACAGCTCGACACGATCACATCAAGAACAGCTCGACCAAGAATCGGAGCTGGCCTTTGTAATGTCCCGAGGACAACAAGGAAAGCGCTGAAGCCTCTATTTCAGAGTTTCTTCCAGGCATCTCTTCGGGGGGGGGGGCAAAGCCCCCCGAAAATTTTTTACCGCCCCCCCCTCCCCCGAACGAAATGAAATTTATATAATTTATATAGAAAATATATACTTTTAACAGTGTCCGCCCCCCCCCCCGAAGAAAGTCTACCGCCCCCCCCCCCGAAAATTTCAAGTACCCCCCCCGGAGAAAAAAGTCTGGAAGAAACACTGCTCTATTTGGTCGCAGGCATTGGCTGTAAATAGCGACAACATCTCTAAAACGGTAGCCGAAATCCTTGGAATGGTCAGAAGAAATACGGAAATTTAACACCTGGACGGCACTCAAGAAACAATCTAAGGATGGTGCTTAAAGGGAAAATTCAACGATATACAGACCAAACTCAACAGACTGAAACACTTCGGAAAAATAATCAACCAACCTTTGTGAGGGACCTACACGATATACAGACCAAACTCAACAGACTAACACACATCGGAAAAATAATCAGCCAACCTACATGATATACAGACCAAACTCAGCAGACTAACACACATCGGAAAAATAATCAGTCAACCTACATGATATACAGACCAAACTCAACAGACTAACACACATCGGGAAAATAATCAGCCAACCTACATGATATACAGACCAAACTCAACAGACTAACACACATCGGAAAAATAATCAGTCAACCTACATGATATACAGACCAAACTCAACAGACTAACACACATCGGAAAAATAATCAACCAACCTACATGATATACAGACCAAACTCAACAGACTGAAACACTTGGGAAAAATAATCAGTCAACCACCCTTCCATCCACTCGCTCACTACTATATGGTTATTCAGCTTAATACATAACAAAACAATAAAACTCCCCACTATTTAGGACAGAAACATAGCACTTTTTACACATAATGCTCACATAATGCTTACAGACACACACACAAAATTCATGAAAAACTTATACAAGACTAATGTTAAAGTATTTACCAATAAATAGCACAAATACTCTCAACCCTGCTTTACAACAGATTCAAATGGTGCACGAAATAAGCTCTAACAGACACCATCAGGAAACTTCACCTTAAAACCATCACTCCCAAAGCTAGGGAAACAACATAGTCACATTTATAATACAACACCAATAGCATTATACCAGAAACTTTATTGTCCACTATGCAGACAAAATACCATAGAAAAAGAAACACACATCTATCTAGAGTGCCCTACCATCCAGACAATGAAAACAACCCTAAGGACCAAAATAATTGGTAGAGAAAATACTTACAACGCTGATATAGCTATAACTTTAAATATATTCCCCAAACAAAAAGATTTGGAGGAAAAACAAGGACGGTAGTTATTTACAGACAAACTATATGGGCAAGTAGATAAAGAACCAAACATTACATTGCACAGTTCACTGGACAGATACTAGATTTGATTTATAACAGACGAATCGACAAATACAGCACATTAACACACGCTATAAATAGTACCAGCATGTAGATTACATGGCACTGCTTTTGACGCCTGACACGCCTTACCCTGAACCCACACACATTTACTTCCTTCACGCCCCGCCAGCTATGGTTACACCACCTCCTCTACCCACGTGACCCCACCAACTACACACCAATACGCCAGCGCCCAACATACACAACAAACATTAGAATAAACACGGCGTGTTGTTCCGATGAAGTATCGAAATCCCCCCTCTTACCCCCGTCACCCGTATTCAACACACATACATTTAACAAATCAAAACATTCTCCCCCACTTAGGACACGCTTCACTGCCTCCTAGTCTTTTTTCTACATTTTATTTTACTTTAATCTCTTTTACTATTTAGCCTTTTGAATTGTGTAGGCCTACACAGCAAACCTAGTATCGCCATATATGCAATAATGTAAATATCCACTACCTCACGCAATCACAAGTAAATTTTGTTGCGTTAGTTCCCTTCCTTGGCCACCCTTACCCCATACTAAACAATCACACAGCCTTTAACATTGGCACAAATCTCTGAACCTGAACCCTCACAAACTGCTCCATAGATGTATTGCCTCTCGCTCGACTTCGAAATTATGTTATGGTATATATATATATATATATATATATATATATATATATATATATATATATATATATATATATAAAGCGGGTCTACGTGATATTTAAGCTGAAAGGAAGCGCTCTTCTGTTTTCAGCTTCAAATAAGGCGCTCAAATGGGCGTCTAGAATTGTTTATAAAGTTGGTTAAAAAAATTACTTATTTACGTGGCATAACATTGTCATGGCAATATATTTGTTAACAATGTATGGTTCGTGGTTTCTCACAGGTGAGGTTGCCTTATTTTTAGCAGCTGGGGCTAAGGCTTAAATTTTATTTGAAAATCATTTCCAAAAGAGGGGGCACTATAAAGAATATATTAATAACTACCAGGTTAAATAAAATAACAGAACAGAATACATATTTCTGCATTGCATATTTATTTAGAATTTTGGTTATGTTTTTATAACGTCTAACAAACTAAACAATTTATTTATTGTCTTTCATGTCTACACTAGAATATAAAGCAAATGAAAACATTAAAAGCTTGACACATACACGTGTACTCAAGGAAATCGTAAGTTTGTTTGTTAACATTGTGTAGGCAAGAAGAGAAAATTAACAGTTACAGACAGATTAAGTCCAACCATTCCCACTGTAATTTCCTTCAGAGTTTGATCCACTGTGGGGATGTCGCCACCTTACATACCCCGGCATGTAGACACACGCTCCACTGGAGCCTGGACATGTACATGTTGTGTACATGTACTTGTACCAGCCATCGTCCCTAACATGTTTCTGTGTCCATTGTCCTACGGAGACTTTTTTAGGACAGCCATGAGGATGTGACACTATAACGGTCAATTTGTCCACATCAACAAATTGAGTGTATTTTTCACTAACTTTTTCCCAAAGATCATCAAAGTTCCGATAAGCCTTGTCAAGTTGATCAACTAACTCTAAGTCACATGACACACATGAAAACAAGCACCAGTCTCCATCAACGTCTGCCTTCCTCACCTTCCAGCCATCAAGACCGACCCCAGGACTTTTATTGTCATCAAAACCTACAACACACCTGGTCTGTCTCGCCTCACTCTCATCAAACACCACGTGTGTGGCTGTCCTCACATGGACCTCCCCCCACACTTTGCTGGGTGTGTCCGAGTGTTGACACTTGCCACATGGACAAGTGCCCTTGTTGTCACTCTTTGTGTACTTGTCCACCTGATACACCCTTCCCGTCCCTGTCCTCAACACGTCAGTTCCTCTGGTGTTATAAAATGGGTATTGGCCAATAAATAAATTAGTACGTCTTGGCCTAACCTGGCTGGTATAATTGACCTTTACCAGGACCGTTAGGGCAGACAAAGCTTTGATTACCTCCAACATGATGACGTCATGGTAACGTGAAGGGAGATGGTTCAAGTTAAAATCATTAACAGGTATAAACCTGGCATGACCTGGATTCTTCTTACAGCTAGTATAGCGCTTAGGTAAATTAGCTTCACCTCCATTGCAGATCTCGGCTTCATGATGTCCTGGAGAGGAGAGTCAATGGTGATTAATAAAAATGTTCTTTAATGTTTTCATATATATTTTTAGCAAAATTTCTTTTATTCTATCAATTGATTATAATTTGTTATATGTATAGATTATTTTTCACAATGCTAGAGCAAGTTATTAAGCTCATTTGTTTCCATAATAAATAATGAAACAACTATATGTATCATTGTCAAAATGTATGACACATAGGCCTAACATTATATCAGTTGTGTTTCATAGGTCAATTGAACCATGGATTCGCTACAGACTCAACACGTGTACCAGCTGTAAAATAAATCTTTGAAGATCACATCAGCAATAATCTACTCAACCACTCTTACATGTTATACACATGTTTGGACCAAGCAGAAACTCACCTGGAATAAAACCTGCTTTTGTTTTCATTTTGTCTAACTGGGTTGCCTGGCATTTTCTATTAGTTCCATCTAAAAAAAAATAATTTTGTATTGTTAGTGATTGATTTAATAAAACGAATTACCCATGAATAAATCGATTACCTAAATGTAGGACATCTGAGAAGTTATAGACACTTACAGGCGCTTGAGTGGAACCCCCAATGAAAGCGAAATAGAGGGAGCCCAAGACAGACCTGGAGGCGGAGTCTTCTTGAAGAACTGAACCCAACAGGGATGTCTTGGGAGATTGCAAAATTAATACCAAGGGACCGGACAAAAGGGAAGGGTATGTTAGAGGCCCTATGTCCCACAAGCAGCAAAATGGACTGGGTCAAGTTAGTCACACACATTCTCTTTGAAATAGATATATAGTTTTACCTTCACCTGCTAACTGAAGTTCTCTTCCCTTTCCTCTTCTATTTTCCATTGCCAATAATTTTACCTGAAAAAAAATTCAATTCTAGTAATACACAAGTTGACCTGTTTAGATACGTGTGAGTATTTTATTAAAAACTGCACAGATGATTCACTGATTCTAATCTCCGTTAAGATAGAGTATACCCAGTACAGGCTCTAGATCTAAATCTATTTTATATATTAAATTGATTCAGCATTCATAAGCTAATGACATTAATAATCGAAATTCAATAAATAGTATGCCTAATTAAATGATAAAGCTAAATAATATATGGAATGTAGTATCTGCTCTAGTATAGGCATCGGGCTTTTGTGTGTATAGATCTAAATCTGTTACAAATACTATCCAGACTCAAGTTTTTATTTCTACACCTCTAGTCTTAAAAGTTATTTCACGTTAACTTAAATCTACAGATCTAGAATTTCTAGGTGAATGTAAATATTTAAAATCCAAATCTGTCGAGAAGTAAGTCTACGCAATTGTTAATATTTATTTTTTACTTTATCCTATTTGTTACCATGTATTGAGAAAGTATTGTAATCGCGTACAAAAATGAAATGAGATTTTAAAAGTTTTCATCGTTTCACAGCTCCCTACTCTATCATAAACAAATAAAAAAGATATATGCACTCGAGCAACAAATATAAATTTAGATTTTGACAACTTTTGACGTTATTCATCCTTCTGATTCTGGAAAAAGTTAGTTTTGCAATCTTGTCCTTCTGTATGTCTGTCTATCAAGACGATAATAGGAGCAACGTTTTTATGATAAAATATTTGTAGTTTTCTATAACGTTTGAACGGTTTCCGGTAAACGGAAGACCAAAACTTGAGTACCGGTTAAGTAAGGTAAAGAAATATTCAAATACAAGTATTGTATGGACATTTGAACGAATTTTGGTAGCCGAAAGTGGCATTTTACTCTATTTTTTGAACACGACAACTAGAGTACTATTTCAGCTAGGTAGATTAAATTTCATATTTCATAATGAAATATTGTACTCGGATGACGCTCAAATTTTCAATGACCTTCAAGTAGTACCTTACACTTTTTTTGTTTCTAAAACTCTAATAACGTAAGTACCGTTTTACTATTGTTTATGTCTTTCTGTGACGGACAGTGATTCCACAAGTTGATACTTCGATCCAGAGGCGTAGCTAGGTCACCCTATGTTGACCGGAATCTACTCCACTCCCCTTGCTACGCCTCTGTATGCATCTGTTTCTAGTTTAAACTAATGGCGTCAATGCTACGTATGTTCAACAAGGTTGTTACAATACATCCTATGGAAATATTTCAGACAATATTGTTAATAGCTGTGTGTCTACTATACCAACTTTTAGGGTGAGGCGTGGCTGACTTAGTAAATTGATAAGGCTTGCATACTTTTGTTGCCGTTGGTTACAGAATGCGAAAGGTACAGTCAAGGCAAACAAAAAGAAATATAACCAACACTGCCACAATAAACGACTTGGACTCACACAAAAATGTTTGCTCCAAGAGTCTGATTTTAAGTTGTTTTTTTATTCAATGACATTAATCACTTTTCATTTATAAATGTTTCTTTAACATGTTGGAATAAACATTGATAAAGAGTAAGTTAATTTTACAACACCTTTTACCAAGCCTCACAAACAACCCTATTTCCCACACACACCCCGAGCCCCACACACGACCCATGTGCCAAACACAACACTAGAACCAGCGCAACCCGCGACTCACTCTACCGGAAAGCGACAACTGGTGCATTTCAACTGTTTTATTCGTCGCTGTGGAAGCATTTTGGTGTGTAGTGGGTCAACACAGAAACACGAGTGTGCTACGTTAGCTGCTGTGTTAAACACAGTGCTGAGCCAGTACACATTTTATGCACATAAACAAGTTCTATTTTTATTTTGACACGTAATATCAACACAAAAACAAATCTAGCCGATATCTTCATCTTCTCTTTACTACACTTTCTCCTCCATCTAGATTTCGTTGCTGGATAGCAATATTGATTTTTGCAATCATTGTAGTACCACTTAAAAAAAAATGAGCTACCATATAATGTGCTGATGTTAAGCCTGTCTTCATATCTGTCAAAAGTACCCATGAATTATCGTTAAAATAATTAGCTAATGGTGGATTACGTCACGCTTGCCCTGATTACAAAAAAAAGATTTTATTTTAGTGCATGCTAATTGTAACTAAACAAAAACGCACATACTCCCTTTTCACAGTTTAAGATTTTCTCTGAAGCAACAAATGTGTCACGTTAATTTCCACGTGAAATATATCGTGATAGTTTGTAAACAAGCTGATGGTGACCTGACATCAAAACGTCGTGTAGTGTACAAGGAACTGACGAGAATTTCGTTTCCCTCGCATGACTGTCGGAAACTTTTTGAGATATGTGCGGGTCAATCAATGGTACTAAAACATGACGTCATTGCGGAAAAATCCGCTGTTCCGTAAGTTGCTTTTATTAAAGGACACATTAGTTCGCAACTATTACATTCGTGTTTTAAATAAAGATCTATAAGGCTTTTTAATTGGTTAGGGCGTTTACAATACCGATGTTATCCCATTCACTTGTTCACATTTTCTACTAAATAAAAATTGTTATAAAAAACTGTAGCGTATTGTTCTAAAAAGTTTGTTATTATAAATATTGTACTAAGTTATGTTTAATTAAATGACGTCAAACTGGTCAGGGGCCGGGGGTCCATTATTTTGTGACGGTGTATGATGAGGGGGGGGGGCGGGTGTTGAGATGGTGTAGCGACACACTTTTGTATTATAAAAAGGCAATGTTAGAACACGAATTTTAGCCGCTCTTTCGCGTTTTAGTTTTAGAAAACTGTTTTAATAAATTGCAAAAGAAATTGATTAAAATACTCTTTGGTGACAGAAAGATTTGACTGCAATTTTAAGCGGGGGGGGGGGTCGTTGTAGGCTGAGGTGTGACGTCATTTTAGGGGGAGTATGGCTTATTGTGACGATGTGTGTCGGATGCAATGGGGGAGGTAAAAATCGTCAAAAAAACCATTACTTAATATACTGTTTCCAATAACAAAATCAAATCAAACATGTGAAACTTTTCGTTGCACACAATGGCTGGATCACTGGACGCGCAATAGCTTTACAATAGTTTTACGTATTGGTTATAAGCAGGCTACAATAGTTTTACGTATTGGTTATAAGCAGGCTACAATAGTTTTACGTATTGGTTATAAGCAGGCTACAATAGTTTTACGTATTGGTTATAAGCAGGCTACAATAGTTTTACGTATTGGTTATAAGCAGGCTACAATAGTTTTACGTATTGGTTATAAGCAGGCTACAATAGTGTTAAGTGCTTGACATGTATTCGACACAGTTGTCAGGTGTTGGTAATCTAAATTAGTGTCAAGTGTTGGTAATCTAAATTAGTGTCAAGTGTTGGTAATCTAAATTAGTGTCAAGTGTTGGTAATCTAAATTAGTGTCAAGTGTTAAATACAGGTATGCTACTAAGTCGTCGATCTGACGTCTAGTGTTGAATGGGATTTCATCCAGCATAAAATACATATCATGTATCAGCAAGTTATGTGCCATATGTCCAGTTGACTTTCTCAGAAGGGTTGCTGTCCACAACCCACGAGCCCCATTACCGTGGTCAGTGGCTTAGCTAGGGTTTTCGTGCCTATATGCAAAAATTATAAGTGGGCACCCTTCGTCAGCCTTTAGGCTACAATGGAGTTAAACGAAGAAATCATCTGCTACTTATGATGGATAATTTTAAAAATAATATAAATATTCTGTACATTTTATATTTTATACGTCCTGATTGTGTATTTATACTATATTAGTATGTAGTTTTGTAAAAAAATTATTAAAGGCTTGAATAAGTTAATTTGTTTTTTAAAGTAAACAAACACAGTAGAGTCACAAGGCAGGGGCAGAGATGCGGTCTACATCGGATGAAAACATTTATGCGTGACCCAATCGCAAGACATTATAGAATTATTATCAAAAGTATGTCGCATCCAGCTTAAGCAATAAAATATTAGTGAGAATGGGTTAACACTCCTCCGAAAAGCAAAATTGTTGGGAACTATAGGGTGACACCTTTAGTAAACACGTAGGGTAATACCCGACCTTGTGTCGCTACTAACGAAACAAATTTATTTTCAAAAATCGCTAATGATTTATTTAGATTTTTTTTCATGCTTTTAATTTTGTAAAATGATTAATAAGTTCATTAAGATCTACTTTAGCTGCTTCTATATGTTTGACTTTTAGGATGGCCAAGCTACTGACCCAATGGGCATGTCTAAAATTTATTTCATAACAAATAACATCATCATAATGAACAAATAATGAGAACCATCATAGGCATCAAAATCTCCTTCCCGATCACAGTGGAATGTTAAAGAATGTTTATACTAACTAGCGTACCCGTCCGCGCTGCTGCGATCTAGTCACAAAACAATGTGTAAGGGTTTCATCAACGCGTTACCAATTATGTATCTTTAGTCGTGTGACCTTGTTTTCTAAAACTGAGATATGTTTAGTTAAAATGTAAGCAACGCCACTGCTATTTTTTTCGGAACTTTGTTGCGGGGGCGCGGGTTGGTCTACATTACCGCTCAGACGCCCCTGGACGTGCTGCATGAGAGCATTGAGTGTACGTTAATTATCTTCCGTAATTGTGAGGTTAAATACCTTTAGGAGACCGCCTAGGTGTCAGGGGCGTCGTGGGAGTGACTGTTTACACTACCGTATGTAGCTAGGTGCAGCATCTGTCCCTTGTGGAAAGCTTGTGTGATTGGTGTCAGTGAACGCCGAGGGCGTCGAAAGCCGCCCCTGTTGCAGTTTGACTGTTGAAACAAGTAGTACCCCTGACTCTGCCGGGCATCTAATTAACGGATCTCGTGCACTCAGAAAGCCGCAGGGTAACACGGGAGCCCAACCGTTTCTACTGCAAATGCGCTAGAGGACACCCCTTATTCGAGTTAGTAATTAAATTTAGTATCCCGACATATCCTTAGTGTATGGCGCTCATTAAAACAAATATAGGCGACCGGCGGGGTGCCTGCTGATGCGCCCGTGCAATTTGACCGCTGAATCGAGTAGTAACGCTGACCCGCTTCGCCGGACACCCAATCAACGGACCCCAGGGTCAGAGATGGCGGCTGGAAAACTTCGGGTGGCACACCGCATCGCCCTACTGCCGGGGCTCCACCCTCAGAAATATAATTAAAAAAAGTATGGCAGAAACCTCCCCAAAAGTCAGAGTTTCTTTTAGGAAAATTGTCTGGGGAAAAAACACTTCCTTTGGCGTATTCTCAACGATTTCCCAAAGTTTCTTGGCGTTTGGATAAAAACAAAAAACGTATAGTGTTAATAGCGCCATATTGATTAAAGACTAATTAGATTAATTAGATCAACAAGTGAAATGTGATTACGGTAAAGATATAGTGATATTATTAAGGATGGGCCCTGTTCGACCCCCCCCCCCCCGTTTTAATTTTTTTTAAGTGAAAAGGGCCCCTAAATGCCTTGGGCCCCTATGCCTGGTTTACGCTAGCTTTACGGCAGCTACGCCACTGACCGTGGTCCAAACTCGGGTTCTTGGTGTTTTGTCAAAAGGGGTTTGACAGTTTTTGGGTCATTTAGTTGTTTTTTTTTGGGGTTTTTTTGCCTGTAAAAAATTGTGTATTACTTACTGTATAAAAATCACTGCTGTAGAAGATCTGTTGTGTTTAATAAAACCACTAGTCTCTCAAGGTGAAAAAAGAAAATTGTTTTTGTTGGTCAGATTTTGGGCCCCCTAAGTGACATGCCCCCTCCCCCCTCCTATAGTCTGGCAGTATGGCAGTTCCACCACAGGCGTTGTATTGTTTGTGTGAACCAAAATATAATAAATTTAGATAACGCGGTACGATAATATTTATTAAACGTGTGTAAAACTATCAATGCTAAAGTATTGAAAGATCTCATAATTGGGATTGTTTAACAACTTTAATGACATTAATACCAATACATTTTTAATTATTAAAAAATATTAAATAAAAAATAGCAATTAAATTTTAATTTGCCAAACCAATATGACTTTTTACAATAACATAATGGAATCATAGATAATTTTGGATTCTTACAAACATTTAATGACATCAATTTAAGTAACTGGTCAACAGTCACAAAAAATACATGAAATAAAGATTGTAAAGCATAATGCACAAATAAAATTATTTAGGTCTTCGCCAGATCAGTTAGACTCTAAATGATAACATAAGCAATATATTTATTGCGAACATATCTATATAATTAAATAATTAAAAACCACATAAAGACATTTTAAAATATTAAATCGTATTAAGCCAAATACGCTCTAAAATATATTCTGCTCTCCGCGGAGTAATAACTGAATGATAATGAGGGAGGAATTTGCTGTAAAGTTAATACATTGTGTCATCACTTACAATATCAGAACTATAATTTCCTTCAGAGTTCGACCCTGAGTGGACCCAGGAGTCCGCCTCAGGAGGGCGATATACCGGCATGTACACAAGCGCTCCACTAGAGCCTCGACATGTACATGTTGTGTACGTGTGCCTGACGTATATGGTTTCATCATCGTCATCATCATCAAAATAATAATCATTTTCAACTTCATCACCATAAACAACATCAACATCGACAGCCTCAACACAATCAGGACCTTGATTATCAACTCTGACACTCTTGTCAGTTATGTTTGTCCGACGTCCCACAGAGACCTGTTTAGAGAGTCCATGAGGATGTGACACTATAACGATCAAATCGTTGCAGTGGAAAGGATCTGAAAACGTATGTTCTACTTTTCTACTTAAATCATCGAAGAGCCGACACATCTTGTCCAGTTCATCAACTAATTCTAAGTCACATGACACACATGAAAACCAACACATGTTTAACTCTTCGTCTGCCACCTCCACCCCCCCAGCCATCAAGACTGACCCTAGGACTTTTATTGTCGTCAAAACCTAAAACACACCTGGTCTGTCTCGCCTCACTCTCATTAAACACCACGTGTGCGGCTGTCTCCACACTAACCTTCCACCACACTTTGCTGGGTGTGTCCGAGTGTTGACACTTGCCACATGGACAAGTGCCTATGTTGTCACTTTCTGTGTACTTGACCACACGCCACACCCTCCCCGTCCCAACCCTCAATATTTTTCTTCCTCTGGTGTTATAACATGGATACTGACCACTGAAGCATGGAACAGACTTTGGTCTCTTTAGACTGGTGTACTTGACCTTTATCAGGACCGTTAGGGCAGACAAAGCTTTGATTACCTCCAACATGATGACGTCATGGTAACGTGAGGGGAGATGATCCAAGTTAAAATCATTAACAGGTATAAAGTTGACATGACCTGGATTCTTCTTACAGCTGGTATAGTGCTTGTGTAAGTCAGCTTCACCTCCATAGCAGATCTCGGCTTCACGATGTCCTGGAGAGATACAAGGGGAGAGAATGGACTTGTAAAGTTATGGTTGATAACGTTATATTTTCTCCATCAAGTATTTAGGAAATATGTGAAATGCAATATAAAAAACAATTTTCATATGAAGTGTTTCTAGCACTACCTCTTATTTTATAGAACATTTTTAAAAGGAACATGACCAGCACGCCCCCCCCCCCTCCACACACACACCAACAATGATGGTTACAACATTCTACCCCATACAACTCAATTTTGTGAAATAACAAACCCACCTCTATACCCAAATATTTGTATATAGCGCGTAGACATTCCCTACGGGACCAATTGCAAACATAAAATTTTGTTTTGTAGTATCACCTTTTGGTTACGTTTGATCAGTTGCCTACCTGGAATAAATTTTCTACAACGGTCTCCACAAGGCTCCATTTGTGCACGTCTTTACCTGCCCAGAGTAGAAGAAAATAATGAGTTATGAACCACGCTGCCCCGTTGACTCCGACTCAGTATTGTCGGTCAGACGTGTTTTAATTTAAAGTTTTATCGTAAAGACACACATGCGTTAGTATTGGAGAATCGTCTACCGTATTCCCACTTATGGAAATTGTGCATCGACTTCCGTATTCCCACTTATGGAAATGTGCATCGACTTCCGTATTCTCAAAGCGACAAAGATCGGGCGTCTTCTCGTCCAACCAACGGTGCCGGCTCGAAGAACGGTTGAATCTATGGTAGCGATAGACGGGTATACACGGCAGGTATGTGATCAATACAGCTTAGGCCTCGCGCTTGCTGGGAATACTTTGTTCATGTACAACATTCACGGCCCCAACAACCAGTCTCAATCACCACCTGCAGTCACCAATGAGCAACATTAAGAAAAAAAGGATTTCCTCAGAGGCTCACATACCTAATTATTCTGTGGAGCACGCATGGAGCCAAAGACATCTACCGACATAGAAGGCCACATACATTGCCCTATATATCTCAAGGCCATCACAGACATTGGTCCCTATCGTGAGGCTACATGCTACTAGTCCATCTAAATCTCAGCTTTTAGCGTGTAGCTCGGATTGTGTTGGACATAAGTTTGTCATGGTTTTCCGTCGGGATCATATTGTATGGATCAATTATTGAACGCGTCACAAATTGTAATGTACACAGCAGCAAGCGGATATCGACAGCTGACGTTAGTACGCGTGTTTATCGATTGCTCCATGGTTCGATTATGGACGCATCCTTGTGTGTAGTGGGTCAACACTCAGACATTGGTGTGTTGTATCAGTTGCTGTGTCAAGCACAACGACGTGCGACTACACATTTCACAATTAAACAATTGATCTATTTTAAAACATGTTTTAAGCAACATTAAACATGCAAATTCGGATATTCTTTTTTTTTACCCCGACTTCTTTTAGATCTTTCCAGAATATCGATTTTGTCGATTGCTTCATCAGTTAAAACATTTTTTAAACTAGCAAGGTCTCCACAAGTCAATCATTTGTCCATGATTTTCTCTTGTTATAAGCCGCAAGCGCTTGATGTTTTCATTGTAGCATTTAATAATTATAATTAGTATTTCATAATAGAAAAAATAAAAGCAAAAACTCACGAATCACTGACAAATATTGCAGCAAAGATGAGTCTCTCTGTCTTGCTATTTGCTGCTTGAAATAAATTTGTTGACTTTTGAAATATTATGATGTAGAACAGGTAAGGAAACGTCAAGAAGTGCCACACCCTGACAAGAACTGACACAAGTAGTGCCACACCCTGACAAGAACTGACACAAGGAGTGCCACAACCTGACAAGAACTGATCTCATCTGTAAGAAACTCACGAAGATATGCGTTGATCTATTAATAGTTAACAATGACGTCATTGTTGGAATATCCGCTATGTTCTCCGCCGCCAGACTTTCTTGTCATGTTTATTTAAGAGACAATTTTTTCCAAGAACAACCGTAACTACATGATGTACAGAAACGTTTAAAATATCAACATAGAACACAACTACTGATATTATGTCGGTCCATTATACGAATGTTAAACTTTTCTTTTTATTCGTATGAAATTTTAATTATTAAATTATTTATAGTAAATGATAAAAATGTTAATTTCAACGAAGCTTTCTTTTCAAAACTTAAAAAAAAAAAGTAACGTCGGCATGTCCGTGAAATAATTTTTATGTCCTGCCACTTTAAGCTCCCTAACGTAAATGTGGTGCCACAATCAGCTGGTTGGGTGCAAGACGTCCTACAACCTCGTGAGGGGATCAAATGCCGAGACTTTCGGGGTAGCAGTCACGTGTTCTGCTGCTGCCCATTCGTGTAAAAGGCCGTTTTTATCAGGTTCACATGGCATCTAGAACTGTCCAAAATCGCATGAAGTAAATGTGTATGAGCTAGAGATCCACACAACATCGAGAGTCAGGTGTTGAAGTTCTTAAAGGTATCGTGGTGTCAGAACAGCTGACTGAGAGTTCAGAGTTCACACAAATTATTGTCACGTGCTATGATAATTGCACGTGACCTTTACAGCACTGTAAAATTTATGAGAACAGGACATTACTCTCCCTCGACCACCCCCACCCCCCCCCCCCCCCCCAAATTACCTAATTTTTAATTACTTCCGAAGATCCCGATGTTTAGTCATTAAGAATGGTCATCAATGAGATATAGAAGGAAGAATGTTGACGAAAGAGCTTCCAATAACGGTCTCGTAATCAAAGCTCAAACATGAAATCCTCGTCAACAAATATGGATCCAACAAACTAACATGATAGATGAGCAATTACCACAACCTGTTATAACTTCTTATTAAACACATATTATTTTAAAATTTGGGATTCATGTGGTTTGGCCAGCACAGCACACGTATAGAACCCCAGCAAGACGAGAATTGTAATCTGGAGACAGCAGCCCAGCTAGGGGAGACTTGTAATCTGGAGACAGCAGCCCAGCTAGGGAAGAAAACTCCGAAATCAAGCAGCAGTGATGCCCCTTAAAGGAACGGAATATCATCTCGTGTTTACTTTCGACAGCTCCTACGACACCGCTGATGCCAAGTTGTATGGGTAACCTATCCTTTGGGTCTATAAGCTGTGTGGAGATAGGGGTCGGATAACTGGGCAACATTTGGCTTTCCTCAACTTGCTGTCTTATACTTACGTCTTGATTTGCAAGGCGCAATTATCTATTCCTCAATCAGACTATGAAACCATTTATTTATTTATTTATTTATCTTCAGGTGAAGGTACAGCATATTCCAAAACATGCTTATGTATAGTTATGTCTGGGGACGAATTAAATCGAACTTCGTACTTTCCATAGTCAAGTTATAAAATTCAAAAAAGCTGAGCAAGCAAAAGAACAGACAAAGTTTATTTCACAGAAAAATATGCTAACACTAGACTGACATTAAACCTAGCGCTATCCATAACATTGCCTTACGATTAGGGTTACGTGTAACATTAGGAATAAGGCCAACTTATAGTTGAGGGTAATGTCACAATCTACCCTTTATCTTAGCGGGAGGGTTAATTTAATAATTTTCGACCCTTGCACCTTCAATCCCCCTGCACCAACCCCACACACATACACACGCACACCCAACTACAGATTGATAGTACAAAAATGTTCGTCTCTTTAAAAAAAAAAAACATCATAAGAATCACACTATTGTAGAGAAAACTGTATGTTGTATCTCTATTAGAAATAATTACTAAGCCGTATATTGAGTTTTTAACAAAAGTTTTTAAAGTTTTATTCAACTAATTAATCCCGTCAATTGACTTAACAGCAATTTGCAATAATTGTAGGCTTACAACCAAAATCATATCATAATATATAAAAGACCAGTTGCGCACTTCTCTCTCTCTCTCTCTCTCTCTCTCTCTCTCTCTCTCTCTCTCTCTCTCTCTCTCTCCCTCTCTCTGTCCACAAAATTTTTGAGGCTATGTGATCAGTATGTTGGGCGATATATGGAGAACATAAAGATACGGACTTTGGTTGCAAGTAATATGTTGGATGTTTTAAATTGTTAAATGTATAAACTAAATTTTTTTTAAATGAGGAAAATAAAAATAAAGGCATATTCTAATGTAGAAACACATTTATAATTGTGCAAACGGAAAAGTGTTTATTGTTATGACAAAACATCTAAAAACGACGTCACAAGTCACATGTTTAAACTACAGAAAGACCACAAAACTAACGGCGTCATCTTCCAATTTTAGAGTATGAAGAAAGGAACTATTTCAATCAAATTTGATTTAGATAGAGCCACTATAGTCGAAGTAGAATTATAATTAATAATTCAACAACCACGTTTATAAGACTGATTTAGTAAAGGGTAAAATTCACAATTTTAATGACTTGTTTTAGTGACGTGTTAGTGAGTAGATCTGTGTTATCATGTTATCTCACCAGGGCATCGATCACAACAAGAGATTTTAAAACAACTTTACCGTCAGCTTGTTAAGATTTCCGTTAATTTAATTCTACCAAATTATTCCACAACACTGGATCTACTGTATTAGCCCAAGCCGTTGAAAAAATTAAGCATTTCATAACATTTACTAGGGGTCAACGTGGTTGAGTCGGTTCGAACCCTCGGGCAGATGAGGCTCGTTAGCTGGGGACAGCCAATCTTCTAGAAGCTATGGAAGCAGATCTAAAAAGAAAAGTAGGCTGAAATCAGAGTCAATGGCCTCAATGGCGCAAAACCAGTTGACAAGTATACTGAATTGTGTTGGAGGGGATACTTTCCGACACCAAAATAAGAACGAAGAAGATGATATCATTTACCAGCCATCGGCGCCCATTACAGATGAATAATAGTCCTATCTACTTTAAAATGTTGTAAGCCCTACTTTTTAGAGGAAAATATTGTATAAAATAGTTATTGTTCAAAACGCAATGTGCTTAGTACACGTTGAACAATATTAGTGACAAAGCATAGGAATAACTAAATATATCCGATACATTTAAAATAACAGGCTACCAATACCTATTAGAAAAACCAAATTATATACAATATTAGTCAGCACAACACCTTATTAAATCTACACACTGATTAAACTACATGTTTCTTATATGTTGGCAAGTCTGAAGAGTAGCTTAGAAAGTTACTTAAAGTAAATTTGAAATGTTCTTGTCTTAGCATCACGCCCAGATGAAAACAAATGTTTAGTTTATCATCACGAGAGCTTCCCTTTTTCTAACACTTCTCTACGGCCACGCACGAAGAGTTCACTGATTGCCAACCTAACTTTAGCGCACTAATAGACTTTAACAACCGCTCCACCAGCTAAATCAAATTATTCCGACCCGACAAATCTTGACGTGAGCTCCCAGTTTCAGTAAAATATGACAGTCACTCATCAGGTCCCCATGGTGGGATGTTAACAAAAGAGCTCTCTACTATTGTCTCGTCATTAATGTTCATTTATTCTTCGTCAACAAAACTGGATTCATTCGTGCAAATTAATATTCTATTCCTCCTTCCCTCTCACCACCCGTTTATTCCCCCTCCCCTCTCACCACCGATTTATTCCCCCCTCCCTATCTGTTTTCCCCTACCCTCCAAATAATTACCCCCCCCCTACCAATCTTCCTTAACGCTAGTTATCCCCGCCTCTCACATGTTTATTATTTAAGCGCTGTATTCCATTGACTGACTGAGATATGCTGACATAGCAAGAAATTAATTTTTATGTGGTCCTTTCACAAGATATGTTATAAAATACCAAACAGTTGAGCTGTAGAATAAGTATTTTCTCATAGAATATATCTTAACCCTAGACTGACTTTAAACTCAACCAATCCATAATCATAACATTAGCTTACGATTAGCGTTAAGTATAATATCAGAGTTATGGTACATTGTATTGTACACAGAGGAAAGGTAATGTCCTACTCAAGTTTTTTTAGGCGGGTTGTTATTTACATAAGTTAACGAGACAGTGGTTGATTGAGCATGTGAAATGTGCGGGAAGACGGAATGCCAGGGGGGGGGGGGGGGGGAGTAGAATGTCCCCCCCCCCCCCTACCTACACACCAAACCACAGTTTGTGAGCTGTTTAATTCCATTATTGGAATCACATCATAGTGGAGAAAGACGTTGTATCTTCATTAGGAACAAATTAGAAAACATTTTGGTTAAAAATTTGTTTGAATCTTGAGTCAACGTATTTAACTCACCAGTTTAGGTAACAGAAAAATGGAATAATAATAAGCTAAATCAACAAAATTCATTAATAATTCATTAAAATAATGTGTTTGTGTTATTGTCTCGATACCGTGTAGAACTAACGCAGTGTACCCAGTGTTGTGACATGTTATGGGGGGGTTTAATATTGCTTGTAACTGAAACAAGCTGACGGTAGAGTTGTCTTTATTTGTTGTACCGATCTATGTACTGGTAGGATGACAGGATAAATACAGATCTACTGACTTGTACGTCACAAAAACAAGTCATTGAAATTAGATGATAAATTTTACTCATTATCTAATGGGACTTTATCGGAATCGTGTTGTTTTAATTATTAATTTTAATAATTATGTTTTATTTAACATCCTCTTTAACACTTCTATTTTCAAGGGCTCTGCATTATACGTTTGTGGTCAAAGGGAATTAACAATGAAAACAATTTACAAATACTTTCTGACGCAGTTATCTCCTTTGAGTAGTCTGCAAATTGGAATTATTAGTATTTTAAATTTTATAATCCGACGATCTTTCAAAAATCTACATTTCTAGCCATGTGACCTCTAAACTAAATTGAGAAATGGCGAAATACAGTTGAAATAGACCTCAATGTATGATCTTTCAATCACAATGGCAAGACTTAGCTAGGCATTCTGTACAATGCTAAAATCGAAAACCAAGGAAGTTTGGTTTCATTATTTCTAGTTAACGTAACTGTCCTCTGTTTAAGTCTAAGTCTGTTGTCTGTTTACTCTATGCATGACAAAATTGATTATCAAAATATTTTAATATACTGATAGTCAAGTAACTATATTTTTGAAAAAGTAACTAAGATGCGATATTTCTTTGCAAAGTCTCGGCTACAAACTTGACTGCCGACACTAAGTCAACAAACTTGACTGCGAACATAAAGTCTCAGCTACAAACTTGACTGCCGACATTCTCAGCTACAAACTTGACTGCTGACATTAAGTCTCAGCTACAAACTTGACTGCCGACATCAAGTCTCAGGTACAAACATGACTGCCGACATTAAGTCTCAGCTACAAACTTGACTGCCGACATTAAGTCTCAGCTACAAACTTGACTGCCGACATTAAGTCTCAGCTACAAACTTGACTGCCAACATTTCTCTTCACTACCATCGTGTTTTGTTTATCATCAACACAAAACATTAAGATTATCAACGATAACAAAATGAATGAAAAAAACTTTGAAATCTTCTAAAACTTTATTGACATCCATACAAACAGTTTGTAAGCAAATACAAACAGTTTGTAAGCAAATACAAACATGAATTAAAGTATAAATAAAGACAATGATGGCGATGACAAATCTAATGTGGAGGTTTAAACAAAACAAAGATACAAGTGTAGCCTATAAAGATTTCATTTCTCAACAATAAACATTTGTTTATAATTTTGTTTATGTGTCTAACAACTCTAAACTAATGACGTGAAGGGAGCCGCCATTTTGTTTGTTAACATTAGACCAGGGGAGAGAACCAACAGTTACATTAGACAAGGGGAGAGAACCAACAGTTACAGATAGATCAATAGAACACAGTCTCCCCACTATAATTTCCTTCAGAGTTTGATCCACTGTGGGGACATGACCACCTGTTATATACCGGCATGTAGACATACGCTCCACTGGAGCCTGGACATGTACATGTTGTGTACGTGTACTTGGACCAAACTTTCCCCTTATGTCTGTGTGTCCATTGTCCTACAGAGACCTGTTTAGGACAGCCATGAGGATGTGACACTATAACGGTCAACTTGTCCACATCATCAAATCTCCAGTATGTGTGACATACTACCGCACATAGACCATTAAAGCGCCGCCTCATCTTGTCCAGTTCATCAAGCAATTCTAAGTCACATGACGCACATGTAAACTTACACCCATCTCCCTCAATGTCTGCCACCACCACCCTCCAGCCATCGAGACTGACCCCAGGACTTTTATTGTCATCAAAACCTACAACACACCTGGTCTGTCTCACCTCACTGACATCAAACACCACGTGTGTGGCTGTCCTCACACGAACTTCCCCCCACACTTTGCTGGGTGTGTCCGAGTGTTGACACTTGCCACATGGACAAGTGCCCTTGTTGTAACTCTCTGTGTACTTGACCACACCACACACCCTCCCCGTCCCTGTCCTCAACACGTCACTTCCTCTGGTGTTATAAAATGGATACTGACCACTGAAGCATGGAACGGACTTTGGTCTCTCTAGACTGGTGTACTTGACCTTTATCAGGAACGTTAGGGCAGACAAAGCTTTGATTAGCTCCAACATGAAGACGTCACGGTAACGTGAGGGGAGATGATCCAAGTTAAAATCATTAACAGGTATAAAGTTGACATGCCCTGGATTCTTCTTACAGCCGGTATAGTGCTTGTGTAAGTCAGCTTCACCTCCATAGCAGATCTCGGCTTCATGATGTCCTGGAGAGATACAAGGGGAGGGAATCCATATTTTAAAAAAATACAAAATTAAAATGTATTTAAAATAAGGAACTTGTCAAACAAAAGGTGCAACTATGAAAATTAACAAAAACTTCATATTGCTGATTTTTTTTATTAGCTGGTGAAGATGAAGTAGAGTTTACATGTATCGTGGTAAATATTGCCTGCCAAACGACCATTTAACTAACCATCAGTTGTCGACAGACTCAGGACGTGTATTAGCTGTAAAAAAAACTCATGCACTTCATATATTTAAATAATGTAATCATGTGCCCAATAGATCTGTATAAATTTAGCTTCTTACATGTTATGTACATATTTCACACACTCTGAGACTCACCTGGTATAAAACCAGCTTCAGTTTTTTTTTCTTCCAACTGTGTTGTCTCACCTTGTCTTTCTTCCAACTTTGTTGTCTCATCTTGTCTTTCTTCCAACTGTGTTGTCTCATCTTGTCTATGTGTTAGACCTAAAACATTTGAACATCAAGGTTTCAATTAGATTAAACACAAACCTATACCAGTAAATAAAACATTTCTCTATTTGTAAAACAACTGGGATGTTCTAAACATTTACAACAAATACAAAACATGTAGCCTAGAAACATTTATTTTACCTTTCTCTGCCAACTGATTTTCTTTTTTCTTCCCACCTGTATTTCCCATCTCTGACAACTTTACCTGCAATAAAAAAAATTATTGTAAAATAAATTTACATTATATGATTTTGTTACAAAACTTATACTCATTTAAGTCAACCTTAAGGATGAGTTCCAGATTCTATTATAGTGATGTGAATACAGTTTGGTGAGGTGCTGACAAACATAATCTGGTCATAGAACTAAACTGGAGTTGAATCAGCTCAACTCTACTTCACTTCATCCACCATTACATTGTATCACAGTAAATTAAATTACATTTTTTTTTTACTTTAAATAACAGTTACATCAGATGTTAGCCTACATAAAAAAAATGTATATTGTTCGATATCAAATTTGAATTGTTTTTAACTGATAAAATATTAAAAAGTAGCTTAACACATTCGCAGACTATATACTTGTCATAAAAGCTTAATAATTATTTTAAACTCAAGTTGTCTCATTTAATTAGTTATCAGCTAGATAAACTTAATTAACAACAATGAAAAAGAAGAAGTTAGTTGCAATAAAATTATTGTCATACCAAAATCAAGTACATAATCTCAAAACTTATATTACTTTTGATTTTCTTCTATAAATTATGTTTTAGTTTGAGCTAATGTCACCTTTAAAATGTGGCTTTTAAATGTCTCACATTTTAAATGATTTTCATCTGCCCTCTATGAATTGTCTTTCATGACAGATTCCAACTCAACCCACCCCCTTAAAATGATATCACACCTCAACCTTGTAGTTTTTTTTATTCTTAAGAGATTTTATTCTAAAATAAACTGAGCCTATTGAAGCTTAGAATATTTCTTCTATTTACAATTTACAAAAAAGTATTTTAAATGTTAAATAAAGGCAAAATTTAGTTTCAAACACATCTTAATGTGATTCTGAAATTTAAACTTAAAAAGAGACAAAATCATTGAAGTTTTCTCAGAAGTAATCAAAGTTGACTTTAAAAAAATGTGGTCTATTAAAATGCTAGATCAAATTCTATTGAATGAATAAAAAAATGCAGGCTTCAGCACAAACCTCAAGTAGCTTTTTAATTGGATCCTTTGAATAACAAAATTATGTCTTTATAGCCCTATTGATGAGTGATTCCACTGTCCATATGTTTCTCCTTCATACACCTTGATAAAAAGACATGCATTATATACCTTCATAACTTTAGAATATAGGATTACATGTATTAACAAATCTAGATTAACAGTGTATGCTCTATTCTAAACTCTAATTAATTTCTCTAACTTGGTTTCTTAATTTTATAAAATTTTGCAGGTGTGGTGATGTAGTGAGTATGAAAGGTGTATACATGGGATGGATCACTGTGTATGTCGTGAATGTTTCCCATAGCAAGATGCGAGGCTGGGTATGTTGACATGTATGTTGTTGATCGAGTGACAGTGATTGTGTTGTCAGCGAGACAAAGGAGGTGTGTAGGGATGAATGCGGAGGACAGTTGAAGGTTGGGGTGAAAGTAGACAGGTTGATGTGGAACTGGAGAGGTGATTGAGGAAAATAAAAGAGACTGTTATACCTAGCCTTAATGTGTTGTTAGTGTATTCTATGAGATTCCTGACACCCTCACAGCAAGCCTAAATTATAATAGTCCTGCTTCAAAAATGTGAGCACTATAGTCAAGATTTATTTATTCCTAGACTAGATAGATAGTTATTAAGATCAAGATTCTCTATATTTATCCAGATATAATCTTTATTCATATCTAATTACTACTGGATTAATTAGTGTTGCAATATAATAAATGAGTTAGATATATAGGCCTATTGTTAATACCCCAGTTTAGCATCAGTTATTGTTTTGGAATGGTATAGCAGATTAAAAACAATAAAAGAAAGCGTAGTCTGTTACTGTGTGCTGGAAATACTATAAGCCATACTTTATTTGGCGCAATCTTTTATTTTTAATACAGAACATTAAAAAAATTTGATAGATTAATTTTTTTGCATGTTAAATACTGTTTTACTAATCATTTTTTATTTCTTATTATTTTTAAGAATTTCTGATAATTATTGCTGCTACTAAACATAGTTCTATTAGTCATTTTTATATTTGCGTAATCATTTTCACTAGATTTAGATCTAATTCTTAATTGATTGGTGCAAATCCTCTGCATGATTTTTATTTCTGTGTTTTAAAAAAAAAAACATTATTTATTAAACTATTACTAATTGCTACACTTGACTTAATTATTTACATTTCTAACCGTTTCTGAGTGTTAAATAACTCATGTTAATGAAACTCAACAAACATTACTGGATAATTTCCAACGCTATACTGGGGTATTACTGGCCTATTAAGTATTAATGCAGCAAATAGCTGTAGCCTAGTGTCTAGTCTTCTAGTTATAGAATCTAGAAATATGAAATAGAAGTCTAACAGCTGTGCAGTAGCTTACAACTACACTAGACTACAGTGTCTAGACATGACTTGAGTGACTAGCTTATATTTATATTATTTCCTTTTTATTCAGATCATATCTCTTTATCTAGATCTATCTTGTGATCTAAGCTAGACTTAAGACTGGGATCTATAATCTAATCTAGATCTAGAGTATTCAGATAAATAATTTAGAATTTAGGGCTAGATCTAGATAATAGATATTCTAAGGCAGGAAACAGATTAGTACCGCAAAATGCATATTCGGTCTTCGCCGTTCATAAACTTTCTAACCAGACATCGTTCGGGGATTTTGTTTATACTGATAAATAGAGCAAGGTTTTTACAAGCTTCGTTAGCAACATTTTTGTGGAATTCGTTTTTATGACATTTTGTGCCGCGGCGAAGGATGCGAAGTATGCAAATCTAGACGGAATGGATCTACTTGGAAAGTACGTGTACTGCACTAATAAGGTAAGAAATAATATTTTGTAAAAATAACTATTATTTTTTTTATGGATTTTTCATTAGAAATGATTGCTGTAAATTATGAAAGTAAAAAAAAAGTATATTTGAATGCGTTTTTTACTTTAATTTGAACAAAATGACTGCCGAAAATTACGACACATCGGCGTCGCTGAAAGCGGGAATTTCAGTTAATTTTTTACGGATATAAAATTGTATTTTTTTTACTCCGAAGCATGTATTTAAATAACAGTTAAGTTAAATCTATTTAATTCTGTAAAATATAATTATTATTTTGCCGTAGATACTTTTTTTTTTTATTTTTAATGATTTTCTGTCGCGGAAAATCGGTATTCGCACCATGCACGCACACGTAGTAAAACTAGACTTATCTTTAAAACACGAGAATCTTGAGTACACTGCGAATAACAAAGTTTTTAAATGTTAGTTTACTTTTGACTTTAAGCCATTTGTTTAAAATCGAAATTAATTGATAATGTAATTATTTCAAAGTAAAAACTTTCCGTCTGAAATTGGCTTCTAACCTTCGCCACTGAACCAGCCTACGCACGACATTCGCGCGAGTCTGTTTCTTCGCAATAGTCTGTATAGTGTCGAGGGTTAATCCTAAAAAGAACCGAGTCCTTACTAATGTAATGTTTATTAAAATTAGGTACAATTGTTGGAACACATGAGAAATAACAAATTTAAATTTCATCAAATCTATAGCCAAAAGAAAGTAGAACTTTATAACTCTGTAAATTATGAATCGAGTGACGGCTGTCGTGAAAACGGGAGCCATTGTACTCTTTTTTTAGGGTGACCTACTTTTATTATATAAATTTAAAATTCGAAGATTTTATAAGCAGCTGAGTAGCTGAATACGCATGCGATATGGCTGGCACGTTTTGGGATAGGGATCGAGTACACCGTAGAACATTTTTTTTCTTAGAACTATGCGTATTTTTTTTTTAAATCAAAAGATACTTACATATTAGCTGTGGATTTCAATTTCATTACAGAACTAATCACTAACTTTAGTTTTTAAAAGTGATTTTGCTTCTAGATCTAGCGTATTTTCAAAATTACGTAGATTCTAGATCTAGATCGATTTTACTAACTATTTGACAAACGTGTCAGTAAAATGAGGTCACCGCTTCCAGATTCTTAGGTTTTAATTATGTTTGTCATTTTGATCTATTATAAGTAGCATTAAAACTACTGTATCTATCATCAACATTGTTTTTATAGGCCAGTTCTAATGATACATTCTGTTCATTACCAATTCTAATGAAATCGTATCAGGCCCTAACTAACACCCTGTTCACTGACACCACACTATTTGAATGAGGCCACAGACAGCCGTAACTTTAAATTAATTTATAAAGTACTAAACAATTATAATTAGCCATGTAAATGCTGCAACTATAATAAAAATTGGCATATAGACTATAATAGATTGACGACAGAAGCCTGTGGTTGTGTATAACACGTTTAATTGGGTCTAACTACCTCATGATGGTAACACACAGAGAGGAGGAAGGAAGTAGACAAGGGACATCACTCAAGATAACAATATTATAAATATAACTAATACAGAAGAGTGAGTTCCCTTGACCTCACAATTATTTCAATCTATTACATCCCTTTACCCTTAGAACACAATAACACATCTCTCAATAGAACAATTGATAGTATCCTAAAATCACCAATTATATTGTAACATGAACACTATGGTAGATTACATCCTTACAAACAATGCACAATATGCTACAACATAATCAAAATACAAAACAATAATGTCAAAGTCCTTTTGACCTTTAGAATCATAGGTCTAACTTATTTGGGACTTTGATTGTCCTGCTTGACCTTCTCAGTGGCTTCTGATTTGGTGACTCAAGATTCTGACCATCTGGATTCTCTATCTCAGGAGGTCTAGGATTTAAATCATTAACTCCAGAATTTACATTTTCTGACTCCAGACAACTTGGTTCACTCATATCAACAGAACTTGGTTGTGGAACAAACTGAGTTGGTGTGAACTGTTCAGATTTGGTGAGATTGATAGATTCACACTTATTATCTGCACAAGTTATTTTTAACTTTATAAGACACAGGTCCTGTACATTGAACAATTTGACCTGGTATCCATTTTTCCTTTCTCCCATA